TGTACCTTAGAATCCACTTTAATGCTTGCCAGTGAACCTTTTCAGGATTCGCCATGTACCTGCTTACAAGACTTACTGCATATGTTATGCCGGGTCTAGTACATACCATAACATACATCAAAGAACCCACTATATTAGCATATGAAATTCTATTCATATAAGCTCTTTTGACATCAGTATTGAGACACTGATCTATACTCAGCTTGAATTGAGAGTTTGTCGGAGTCATAACAGGCTTTGAATTCGACATTCCATACTTTTCGAGAATCTTCAGTAGGTATGCCTCTTGAGATAAGCATAATTTTGACTGCTTTCTATCTCTTCGGATGTTAATCTCAAGAATCCTGGACGCAACCTCCAGATCCTTCATGTCGAACTTCTTACTAAGTTCATCCTTCACCCTCATTACATCTTCGATATTGTTGCTTGCTATTAGAATATCATCCACATAAAGCAACAAAATAACAAATGAATTACCAGGTCGAAGTATGAAGTAAACACAGTGGTCGAACTGACTTCTAATAACACTTATGTGTGCCATGAACTTGTTGAATCTCCTATTCCACTGCTAAGGAGATTGTTTCAGTCCATATAAAGATCTATTCAGTTTGTACAAATAATCTTCCTTCCCTTCTTCGACATACCCTTCAGGTTGCCTCATAAAGATTGTTTCATCTAGATCACCATACAAGAACACATTCTTCACATCCATATGTTCCAATTCAAGGTCGAACTGGGCCACCGTGGCAAGAAACATTCGAATGGATCTGTGCTTTACAACAGGAGGGAACACATCATTAAAGTCGACACCTTCTTTCTGAGTGAACCACCTAGCGACCAATCTTGCCTTGTTTCTCTTCGACCTCACTCCTTCGATTCCTTCCTTAACTTTGAAAATCCATTTACAGCTGACTAATCTGGCTCTAGCAGGTTTCTTGATCAGTTCTCGTGTGTTGTTATCATGAAGAGATTTCATCTCATCATCCATGGCCTTCAGCCATTCAGTCTTCTTTCGAATCCTCATAACTTCCTTATAGTCTCTAGGTTCTTTATCTAGAACCTCACTTGTAGAGATTAAGGCATAAATTATAAGATTTACATACCCAAGTCTCTGAGGTGGCTTGATGACTCTCCTCGACCTGTCTCTTGCTAGCAGGTAGTCATTATCAGTCTCCTCATCTTCGATAACATCTTCTACTTCTTCTTCGACTTCATATGGGATACGCAATTCAACATCAACATGCTCCACCTTAACAGGAATCTCTCCCTGTTCCAGCTCTTCATCAACATCATCATTTTTCTTAAAGGACATCTCTCCTTCATTGAAAACTACACCTCAACTGGTGATACACCTCCTGTGACCTGACTCTAGGCACCATAGCCTATAAACTTTGAATCCTTCAGGGTATTCCATGAACATGCATTTCAGAGCTCTAGGTTCGACCTTGTCTTGCCTAATTTGACCATAGACTACACAGCCAAATACTCTCAGTCTGTCGAGACTAGGTAGATGTTACGACCAAACTTTTTCAGGTGTCCTCATTCCCAAGGCAGTCGAGGGACATCTATTTATCAGATAGGCTACTGTAGAAACAACCTCCGTCCAAAACACCTTCTTCAATCCAACACTAACCAACGTGCATCTAACCCTTTCAAGGATTGTTCGATTGAATCTCTCAGCTAATTGTTGAACGCTTCACCGTAGAACTCAAGGTTATTGTCAGTTCTCAACCTCTTGACCTTTCTGCCAATTTGAGTTTCGACCAGAACCTTCCAACTTTTGAAATTCTCAAAAGTTTCATCCTTCGTCTTCTGAATGAATACCCATAGCTTTCTGGAATAGTCATCAACGATGCATAGAAAATACCTTGCACTTGAGTGTGAAGGATTCTTTGCAGGCCCCCAAAGATCAGCATGAATGTAATCCAGGGATCTATGTGTTCTATGCTTCCCTTTGTTAAACTTCGTCCTACAGGATTTACCAAATACACAAGATTCACAAAAATCCAACTTTTCAACTTTCTCACCTCCTAGCAGGTTCTGCTTCCCCAATTTGACCAAGTCTCTTTTGCTGACATGGCCTAATCTCATGTGTCATAATTCTGTCTTCGACACAGGTTTCATGGATGCAACATTTGTTGAACCACTTACAACCTCAGCCTCAAGGGAATACAAGCCTTCTTTCTTCACGTCTCTCAAGACTTTCTTCGACCCCTTCATGACTCTCAGGATACTTTTCTCTCCTTGAAAAACATATTCCTTCATATCGAATTCACCAAGAGAAATCAAATTTCTCTTCAAATCAGGTACATACCTGACTTCAGTCAATAACCTTATTGACTTATCATGGAGCTTGAATCTCACAAATCCAATACTTGCAATTTTGCAAGATTTGTTGTTTCCCAGCAACACGATCCACCATCTTGATCACATAGCTCCTCAAACAATTCTCTGTTTGGAGTCATGTGCCAAGTGAAACCTGAATCCATAATCCACTCTTTTCTTGAGTCGCCAATTGAAACCACAAGAACATCAGATGAGTCAAAGTCATCTTGAGCAATGGCTGTGTTGCCATTATCCTTACCTCCATGATCTTTCAAGCGTTCAGGGTACACCTTTCTTGTGCGACTCTCATTTTTACAGTGATAACATCGAATACCAGATGTTTCGCCAATATAGGACTTTTGCTGACTTTTACCTTTCTTCTTGTCGAACTTACCATCCTTTCGCAAGAATTTTCCCTTAATGGAAAAACCTTCACCCACCGTCGAAGGTTTATGCTCCTTTCGTTCGTTTAAGTCCTTAGAATACAAGGCTGATTGAACTTCTTCAAAGTTCAAGGACTCCCTTTCGTACAAGAGAGTTTCTTTGAAGTGAGCATGTGTTCTGGGCAAAACACACAACAGCAACAACGTTTGATCTTAATCATCGATCTTCACATCAATATTTTCAAGATCAAGAATAAGCTTGTTGAACATATCCAACTGCTCAGCCAACACTTTGTCTTCACTCATCTTGAATGAATACAAAACGTTCTTCAGATAGAGTCGATTCACCAGAGATTTGGTCATGTACAAACTTTCAAGTTTCACCCATAATCCTGATGCTCTATTCTCCTTTGATACCAGTCGAAGAACCTTATCACCAAGACTCAACAATATTGCACTGTGAGCTTTCTCAATCATGACCGTCTTTTCTTTTACCGTTAACGCATCGTCCATGACTGTCTCTCCCTTCAACGCTTCCAAACAATCCTGCTGAACCAGTAGGACTTTCATCTTCAAGCGCCACAGACCGAGATCGTTCACTCCGGTGAACTTTTCAATATCATAATTTGTTGAAGACATCTTCTCCACGCTCAGGACACCAATTTGTTGTGAATAGGATGTCTTGAAACAAAATATAAACGGTTTCTTTATAGACAAGAAACACACAAGGGTTAGGGTTAATAAAGAAAACAAGGTAAAACAACAAGGATTGATTACAAACTGCTATTCTTTCCTTTCTCTTAGAACAAGAGTACAAGTATACAAGAATAACAAAATAACCTCTATCACTTGAATTAGGATTTTATCTTCCTATTTTTTCTTATGCCAAGATGAGAGACTAGCATGTTATTTATAAGAAAATTAGTACACTAACCTAATGGGCTTTTTAACAATTACCCATTATAAGTTAACTTAGGGTACAAACTAACTTAAACAATTGGGCTTACAAGCAATGCCCAATTCAACATGCTAACAACCTAGCAATATTGACTAATGCATTTTAGAACAAACTTCGACTACAACACACATTACTCGCGAACAAACTTCGACCATATTAGAGTTTGAACCAATATCTCACAAAACATTTTTTGGAGTTTGGGAAAGATCAAGAATCGATGGAGGAGGAGGAAGATTCACATTGGCATTGCCTCGAACCATGATGAAATAACGATGCGCAACAGAGCTTAAAAGAGATTTAATACCATCTTGTAGTTATGCATGAAGCATATAAAAATGGTAGAAATCATTGAAAGGAAGAAGAAGAAGATGGTATATTGAATGAACACACTTTCTTACTTGCATGAAGTTAGTTACATTGAGTTTATATAAATGTATGGATCCTAACAAATTCATAACTAACTATCAATGACTATGAATACAAATTACCATTACATTCATCACAAAGTTAGATGACTTGAACACTAGGTAAACCGATAACTTGTTATGCAAGAAATAAGTTTAACAATGTGTTTTTTTACAAGGCTAAAGAGAAGAAGAAAAAAAGGAACTAGAATCTCAAAAAGGAGTCATGCAACATCAAGAATGTGGAGAGTCGGGTTGGAGGACTGGCTTGCACCATAAAGTCAATGTTAGAAAAAGCACTCAAGTTAGCCATGCCTTCACGGGTGGATAATTGTCTGTTTTCCAGCAAAATATCTTTGATGTCCTGGATCGTCACCGCATATTTGTAGTACTTATTAGAATGAATAAGTGTAGCAAATAGAGCCATTGAAACTCATATTTCTAAGTATAGGGATACCATGGTGAATGACATTAAGTTGGGAGGATACCTGGAGTGCCTGATAAGGAGCCAGAGAAGCCAATTAGCTAGGCCCCTGAAGATTTTTGAATGATTCCGCCAAAGCCAATGCGGACTGGCGTTCCATTAGGAATATTGAAGGTCGAATTGAGGAAGTTCCATTTTATAAAACGGTCATTTGTGAAGACATGTTGGGGGCTACTAAAGCGTATTCAAGAAGAGAGCTTACTTGAGTAAAAAAAAAAACAAAGCGTATTAATTCCCACATTTACAATTTACAATATTGAGGTTTATGGTACTGCACATTTTATGTTATATACTGAGTCTACTCACTCATGCCCCCTTAGGTCCAATTTACATTGATAAAGTGCTTCTAAATAAGTTGAAAGTAAGTAAAATCTGGCTAAAGATTGTTACAACCAGAATTGAAGTTCGGATTCACCCGAACTGGAGTTCACAAAATAGTATAACATTTATGCAACTAAACCGAAACGCTTAGAACTGTGCTTCGACATTGTACAACTGTTGGCATCTTCCAAACTCTGACCTTGTGCTCCAAAAGAAAAATATCTGTTCATCAATTTCTTGTTGAAGTTTCTCTCTTTATTATAGTTCAACTGTTGGGCACCCCCATCATCTATTTGTCCCATTGTGTCGACGTGCTCTTGCTTATTGCTCGAAGAATGAGATAAATTAGACCCTTCTTTTTGTGGCTTTACTCTGATTACACCTTGCGTTAGGCCTGCGGTGAAGTATTTTTTTGCAGACGGAGATGGAAATAGTGTCCTTATAGATAGTGTTCTTTTGTTGTTTGGAAGAGAACACTGTTTCGAGTATCTTTGCCTTAACGAGATTGGAAACTCTTTTAAATTGTTTTCCCTTGAACTTGGAGAATTATTAACAGAATCGTCATCTTTGAATTCCTTGAACTTGAGAAGATTCTTCAACCGTTTCGCGACAGAATCAGCAGAACTAGTCTTGCTGTTACACGAGGAACCTGCGGCTGACTCGTAATAATCCTCTATTTCGATTGAGTATGCATTTGATTCTACACTTGCTTGATCGGTATTAGCGATATCCGATGAATTCTCATTCTCAATGCATGTGTATAAGAATATTTTAGAATCTGATATTCTAAAGGATGTTCCAGGACTACCTTGAATACCATGACGAGTTTTCAAATGAGTCGCAATCGCGTTTCTTGTAATATAATCCTTACAATTAGAGATTCCTCCAGCTGAAATCAACTGTTTGATTAAAGCTTCAGAAGATTTCGATCTTGGTCTTTGTTTCAAGTAATCCAAAGGGGTCATTCCGTTCGCGTCGCGAATATTAAGATTGATGGACGCAACGGACATCATTGATTCCACTACATCACATTGGACATCATGAATCACAGCTACATGAATCGCTGTTCTTCCAACATTGTTCTTGACATTGATTATGTCCTTCAGGTTCGCAATCTTTTCGGTTGATAATAAGCGATTCATGAGCTCAGCGTGTTTGTCTAGTCTGCAGAAATCGGTACTTGTGAAACCATACACTGCCATGTGAAGAAAAGTGTCCCCGTTTTGATTGGTTAACTTTGTTAACGAGGGAGATGCTTGAATTAGAATCTCTACCACAGGAAGGTAACCTCTGTAAGAAGCTACATGTAATGCTGTATTGCCTTGTGAGTCAGTTGAGTTGATGATATCAGGTGATAATGCAGTTAGATTTCTTACCACCTGCATCATTAAGATAATAGAAGATAAACCACACAATAAGTAAAACCAAAACTGACATTTCAGATCAAATCTGTGTTTGATTTCAAGTCACTCTGAAGCGCAGACACAGACAACAGACACAACGACACAACGATACTGACACCAATAATAATTTGGAAAAAAAAATGTAATTACAAGTGTCCGTATCCGTGTCTGACACTAAACACACAAATTTGAGAGGTTGCGGTACTACGTATTATCAAGACACTTGTTGGTGTCAGACACTTCAGATATCAAACATGGATGGATTGAGTGAATCATTCTTTTAGTCCCTTGAAGCATTCTTTTTGTTGAGTTTTTTTAGGTTAAATTTTACTTGTACCAGCATAATATTAATCTATGAACCACTGATACCGAAAACTGACGCTGAAACACCTTTTTTTCCAGAGATATCTATGTTACATAAATATTGATTAATAAGCCATGTGAGTGAGTTTGTTACCTCAACCTGGCCTCTTCCAGCAGCTGAATGCAAGACAGTACATCCTTGAGCATCTCTATAAGCTAAAATCTGAAAAGCATTTCCTAAAATAAGCTCCTTCTTGAGTATTTCCCAGTTCCCTCCTCTAGCAGCAGCATGAATAGCCCTATTCACAATCTCCTTCTTGAAAACTCCACCACCACCACCACCTTCATCCAATTCAACACCACCACAATCTTTTCCTAGAAGCGCAAAATCAAGAATCATGTTAAACACCTCAGAATTCTTACTCCTAGCCGCAGCATAAAACATATCAGTAACACCATACTCTCCTTCACCAAAAACCAACAAACAATCTCTTCTCAACAATTCATGAACAAACTCCAAATCACCAGCAGAAGCAGCAGTGTACAAAAGCCAACCACCATATCCACTACCAACCAGAGAATTCTCTCCTCTTCCTGTTTTTTCACACTCAACCATAAGCTTCCTTGCAACATAAGACCTGCACTTGGCAACATCTTCAAACTGAGATTCGTCGTCCCACACGGTCTCGAGTCGGCGAATTCGACGAAGAGAAGTGAGTTTAATGAGAAGATTTGTATCAAGATGAAGAAGCTCAAGGACTAAATCATAGAGACCATTTGCAGCTGCTAAATCAATAGGTGTTGCATACCACCATTGATCTCCTGTGCTCTCCCAACGAAGAGGAAAGGAAGAAGAAGAAGGTGCCATAAAGTTTAACAACACTTTCTTGCAACAATATGTTGAAGAAACAAAGTGGCTTTTTTTAGAGTGAAAGTTATTCCATTCACAAGAGAATAATATATGCTTTATGTTTATTCTTCTCTTGGATATCAAAAAGTTAAAATTATTGAAAAAATAATAATGACATGAAATTATATTTTGTTTATAATTACCCTTGAAAACTCAAACACATCGGTAAGAGTCAGAGTTCGAACTCTGATGTTGATGTCTAACACACAACAGTAAAAATCAAAGTTCGAACTCTGACGTTGCTGACGTCTAACTCAATAATATTGGTTTTGTCTGATTGAGCTTAGTTCAATTGGTTGAAGTTAGTGGCAAAAACAAATTGCAGGCTGAATGGTGCTATTGTTAGATGACAAATTGAAGGAAAAGGATTTGTAGGGAGAGAAATTCTTTGTTATCTAAAGTGGAGAAAAAGTTAAAAAGAAAGGATTGAGAGAATCTCTAGTTCTGTGAGCTTAATGGACATAAAAGATTTTTAATTACATGATTTTTTTGTTGTAACGTGTGCTATATTCTTGTTCCACACAATAAATATAATTAATTAGTTTTTATATTCTATATTAGATATGTGTTTAATAGTAATTTTGGACTACTATTGAATTATTAATAACTATAAATCCATGGACCCCACTGTATTTGTTTTCATTCACTTGAGGAAATTTCAAAGATTGTGTCGTTTGTGGCATGGCGTAAAGCATGAGTTGCCGAACAAAGTACAAGGATTTATAGGACATCAATGTTTTGGTGTGGCTAGTTTTAGGAGCAGATTATCTTCCATTCATAATTAATCAGCATGATTTCTGTAGGGAGAATTATCTCTTTATTGTTTGATGGATGAACCATTTCAGCCATAAATTTGAGTGGTGTTCACTATTTACACCAAAAATAGAGATTCGGAGTGGTATCTGTTACATGATATGTAGGTAGAGGCCACACTTACAAGTTGCAAATGCAATCTACCTTAACAAAAACTTTTTTAAAAAATATAGTAATAACATTCTTTTAATTTTTGGCTCCAAACACATGGAAACCGGAGGATTACTCTCCAGACTGAAGTTTTCTAATGAACATTTTGAAAAATATTTAAAGACAATCCATAATGTATAAATAGAACAAGTTCATGAGGTGAAAAATAGTGGCGGCTCGGGAAAAACCTATCAAGTGGGATGACTTTTTCACAATGTTAAGTATTCAGGGATGATTTTGTATGATTTGGGAGAGCTTATCCATCAATGTTGCAGCAAAGGATGAGTAGATGAGTTGTAGCCATTCATGTGACATCTTTGACATGAATGGGCAAACCTCGAGCAAGCGATATGCTACTTCTTAAGAGAAAACAAGTGGAGACTACTATGCTAAGGGAAGAACCAAAGTCGAGGTTGAAGAGGAAGAAATTTTTTGTCCTTTTAAGATGAGGAAATGACTAATGGGGCATCAAGCTACTGCATTTCCTTATTGGTGAAGTGCGTTAGCATGTTGGTGGACTTGAGTAGTTCATTTGTATGTTGAGTTATTTAACACCATGTGGCTCATATGTCATTTACTTTCGTACTGCGGTGAAAATCTCCAAAATTTTGGTGGCTCTAACACCAAGCCCTAGGCTACGTAGAATTGCCTAATACATTTAGAAAACACGAGAGTAAAAGGACTACGGTGATCGTGAGTAAATTCGTGTGCAATTGTATAGTCAGACGAACAACCTTGGTTGAGTTGAGTGTCATAAAGGTTCATATAAATCTAATGTACCATATTAGTACATAAGAAGTTGATTTGGAAGTGTCCCGCACTTGCTTTCTTATGTTACTAGAGAATTACGAGGAATCTAAGGAGGCTACAATTGTAGAAGTCACAATAATATGTTTGATCAATTTGGACACTTATTTAGAGCCACGACCCATTGGCGACGACGATGATGACAACAAAGCACTTCCCTTAAAGCAATAGAGGAGGGTTTAATGTTTAAAGTCAAATGGAGACTCAATTAAGTTCCTTATAAATGACGATTCTTCGATGTTCACCAAAATAGGACGGGCTTACTCGAGGAGGTAAAGAACTGGCTAATGAGATATTTATGGGATAACATTGATATATCTACCTAGTCCATAAAAAAGATACTCGACATATATCTTGAAGTAGCATGGCACTCCTCGGAGATATGGAAAAACACCCCTTATGTAGCCCAACACTGTCAGAAACAGTCATCGAGAAAGCATAATCCACCAAGGAATTAGTGGAAAGTCTCTTGAGAGACAAATTTTTTATTGATGATAAGTATATGTGAAGAAGGTCTCTTCTAATTGACTTGGTTTTGATGAAGGCGGGTTTATCTCAAAGAAGGAGAAAAAAAAACATATATCATGAAGAGTGATCAACGAAAAATAAATGGAAAAATTACATGATCATCATCTTAAAGGTACATTTCATAATTCATCTTATATATCACTTTTTGAAAGCTCAGAAATTTCACTCAAACTTCATCTTACAATTTCTCTAAGATTATACATAAAAACCCTTGAAACAATGCTGCCAAAAGTTTTAAACAAGTGACTTCGAGTACAAGAGGGGGTGACTTGTGATATTTAAGATTCACGGTTACTTTAGTGGTTTTCTCAATTACGCTATAATCATGTTAAAAATCACTTAAGAATATAGTAAATAGCAGCGGAAATAAAAACAGTAAAAATAAACACCATAAACTAAAAAGGATAAGGGTTAGCGATATTGCACCAGAGAGTTGTCCATGTTTGGCCGAACGTTGGCCTAATCCTGTCCCCAAGATATCTTGTTGAGATTTTACTGGTTATGACCTTGATATTTGACAAGCTTATCCACAGTTAAAATGAGAGCTTTTACCCAGGATAAACTAATGAACCATTTTAGAGATTTTCCATGCTTATCTCAATAACTAAACAAAACTTTTTCCAGCAAAGCTCCATAAACCAAAATAGATATTTTATTACTAGTTTATCTCACGAACCAAACTCAATTTCCTAAGACTATTACACTCTAAAAAATTAAAAAAAAAACAACACGACCATTACAATTTCTTCCTCACTAGTAATGTTTAGCTCAAAAGCACCAAAGCAACTTAAGTGAAAAGAAAATTATTTCTAGAGAGAGAAATAAAGAAAGTAGAGAGATAAATTCCAAAAAAAATATGAAGCTTTGGAAAATGTTATGAAATGAAGAGGAGGCGAGCTTCCTTTATATAGGAGAAGGAAAATCCAAAAAAGGAAAAGATACATGGGAGAAATTTAAGTCCCTATTGATTGGCTCCTTTTCCTAATCGAGTGGATGAACAATTTTAATCGGTTACGTGTATGTAATATGGAAATATTGGATAGAGAGCCATTATAATTCATTAATGTACTATCCTAATAGGCATTCTCCTATCGATTGGATTAATGTCCTAATTGATTGCCTAGTTCAAAAAAAGAAGTACTTCCAATCGATTGACTTAATGCTCCTGTCGATTTGGTAGTTCAAAAAAGCCTTCAAAAGAGAGTAGACAGATTCCTAATAACTTAGCTTGGCGTTAAATTTTTTTAAGAGTTAAGAGATTCAAAAAGACTTATGTGTGTGTGTCTCTCTATGTGTGTGTGTCTCTCTATGTGTGTGTGTATGTGTGTGTGTGTGTGTGTGTGTGCACGCGTGCGTGCATGTGTGTGTGTGTGTGTGTGTGTGTGTGTGTGTGTGTGTGTGTGTGAGAGAGAGAGAGAGAGAGAGAGAGAGAGAGAGAGAGAGAGAGAGTTGCCTTAGTACTTAGGAGTTACTTCGTTACTTTCATAAAACTCTGGTCACTCAGACAGATACGACCTGACGAGCTTTCACACTTTCTATCTTTCATACTTTAAAGCTTCAAGACATGCTAAATAAGTCGACCGTGTAAGAATTTTCTTGAATTTTCTTGGAGATGAGACTTAAGATACATGCCAAATAAGTCGATCGTGTAAGAATTTTCTTGAATCTTCTTGGAGATGAGGCTTAAGATATATTTAGATTGAATGGCATCATCAAAGAGTTGAAAGTTATTGTCAGCGACTTCAAGAATCATTATTGTCGTCATTAAAACTTCTAAAAGAATCTTTTATGTAATTATCAACTTTATACTTGCTAGAACATAGATCCACAAAATTTGTATTTTTCAAAGAAACGACGGAGGTAATTGATAACAACTTAGTGGTAGTCAATTACTAGTTCAAAAATTTTGAAATTTTTTAATGTTGAATAGCGGTAATTGATTACGCCCCTGTGTTAATCGATTACCACCCGTGAAAATGTACCTTTTCACCAAATAACATCATTATAATGCATGTAAATGTTCATGGAACCTTTTCAAACTTGTGCGTCCATTCAAAGAGGTTTGGTTTAATACCATTTTTCATCATGTATCTTAACCTTAGGGTTCATTTTGGTCTCTTAACTTTAAAAAGGTCCATATTTGTCCCTTAACTCTTTAAAACATATCTTGTTAATCCTTTTCGTTTAATTAGCAACGAAAAAATTCAAAAGTTTGTCGCTAAATTTGTCATTAATTTGATGAAAAGGACTGACATGGTACATTTTGAAGAGTTAATAGACTAATATGGACCTTTTTTAAGTCAAGGGACCAAAATGAACCCCGAGGTTAAGATACAGGACTAAAAAGGGTATTAAACCAAGCTTGATGTTTATATAAAGCACTATACACCATAAAACAAAACTCATAGCTTTCAAATCAATTTTAAAATTTAAACATTTTTTTATCAAAATGTTCATCCTTATTAAAGTTTTTGAAACTTTGCATGATTTCACATATCATAAAAAGTTTCAATACATAATCTGAGCACTCAAGTGATATTAGTTTGAATTGTGATAAAATAAATAGAATTCCATTATTCAATTGTATATTTGGAATGCAAGGCATCAACTACTTCTTTAAAAATCTCATTAAAGTGTGTGTATTACTTATTCATCAAGGT